CGTCACAACCAAACAGATATCGACGGCGAGCGACCGCAAAATCACAATGTCCGACCAAAGTCCGTAAGAGTTATAAAAATAGTTCAGTAAAACAAGGTTTCAGTTCATCTGGTCAAGGGGAATAAATATGGGGATTGGCTGTCACTTGGGGTTGGAAACGGGGCACACTGTTGACAAGCTGTCTTCTACACTCAAGACGCAAGAAAGACATATTCCTTGATGAGCATATCCAGGGAGTTACTACGGAAATGGTTGCCGGCCGCCAAACTGTTGCTTAGGAAATACGTCTCACGGTGCTTGCTTTATCATCTGGCGTATCGTCGCCTCCAAGGTGATCAGATTTTTAGATATGCCCTGTTGGAGCAACACTTGGCCAGCAGGTTTTCCACCGTTGTCCCAACCAATTCATTGCGGAGATGTAGTAAATACATTTTTAAGCTCAGAGCGCACATTTTCATGAGGTACCATTTCTTTTTCATTTTGGGTAGTTGATGCGCGACACGACCCCCCTCCGATGGCTAATCATACAGCATCTAGTACCCATCTAAAGGCAATTCAGACGCTCGCGCTGTCAAGCCCAATGCCATCAATTATACCCTGAAGAGCGTTGCCACTTTCTTGCTTCTCTTTTTCCTTTCAGGTTAAAAGCAGCCGTTTAATGACAACAATAAACCCGCCCGGAAAGCTTGAGTGAAAGCATCGATATTTTGTATCATTCCGTGAATTCGCAAAATTGCTTCAAACCTTCGCCCGTGCCATGTACTTTTCCAAGCCTCAGGTACACACGCAGGGGCGTTCCTTCGGTTCCTACTACCACAGCAGAGACAAATAATACGTTTTCGGGCAAGAACTCCGAAAAATAAGTCTTGAGGTGGCATCTTGGTAATTGAGTTGAGTTTGGTCGTTCAACTTAAATGCACTCTCACTTTCATTTTTATGGCGGGCTTTTGAGTTATTTTCGAGTGACGGTGCGTACATTTCCGGATAGATGTGAATTGGCTCATGTAGTGAAGGGACGCTGGAACGAACACGACAGTTATGGAAACAGAATCCCTTCCCGATTTTAGCGCTTTCGCTGTCCGTCAGGTAATTACCTAAGTATAAAAGTTACACAGTTTATTCCTGATTTAAACTCTAGGCCGATCCCAGATTTAGAAGTCCTGGTATTATGAGGAAGCATCTAGGAAGGGAAGCCGTTGCAGCACACTCCGTGAAAAAATCGAGACGCGCTAAATCAACCGTATGTTGAGACATGTTGGTTGAGCAATCTACATTGCAGGAACCGAGTCCCCTTGATCCAAAAGATCCCCGCACAATGCCAGAAGATAAAGTAAGTTTAGAGTAGACGATATTGTTCATGTTTAAAGGATACACTGCAGCCGATTGAACCCACCGAAGAAATGTCTAAGAGATGGTCAATGAATGCGAAAACACAAGAAAATGTTAGTTGTTTTTCCTCATAGTGTGAGTATTGTAAATTAAGATGTCGAAATCGGAGCTCATCAATTCATACCGTTTGTTAATGAACGAGAAGTTGCGACTTGAACGGTTCCTATCAATCATGTCAAAAAATCATGAGATGGTAAGTTGAATTCTTTTTTTTGCGTGTTTCCTGTCTTGGAGCAGCCTATTTTCCAAGGTAAACGCATCCTCTGTAAAAGTGATAATGTTGATATTCTCTGATGCTTGTTGTACAACAATACACAGGCTTTCCTAAACAAATTTAGCACGATTCAGGTTCCCAATACCCGATCGCATAAGTTGCATAGTTTATGAAGTAAAGCGGCTGACTGGGAAATTTCGAACTTTGTATGATCCATGAAATGATGAGTGAGCCGGGCTCTGTGTGGTTTTTGGAACGCTTGTTCCGAAGAAGTCTTATCGTTTTGGGAAACAGATCGAGAAAACGTTCTTGTGAATCCAGGTAACCAACCATGCAGCTTAACCCGCCTCATGTATGATAGGAGAAAACGTTCGGAGGATTTTTTATTGCGTAACCCGTAATCTTGTAAAGAATAGCTCCCTAAAAGCGATAGCCCTTGGAATCAAATGCATCTGCCCTCCACAGCGATGATCCACCAGGATGCGAGTCTAAATCCGACACATGATTTTCATTGACATGTGTTCAACTTCGCCCAAAGTTGTAAGAAATCCTACACCCGCTGGAATGGCGGTCTGTCTGTGACCGAGTGGAATTCACCTCGTGTCTTTTACGTAACTGGCAGTCTAAATCTATTTTCTGATTGTTGGACGGAAATTGACTGATGAGAAATATTACTATGAACTAGGGAGTTTGGGAATGATCCACAGAACCACCAGCTAGTAAGTCTCAGTCTTTTGCATGGGAAATTATAAGTAGTCATGAGAGAATTCTTTGAAAAGACATTTCGCTGATTGTAACTTGTGGCACGAAGAGCGGCATGCTTTCGTCAAAAACCACACGCACATCACCAGCTTACAGCTTGCTAAATGTGCGCGAGCGCACTTGTTGGGTAATCCGCTTCACCTTTTTCGTAGGCGTACTACTATCGAGTGTGTTAAGGGCCAAGGATAATGAAGATTGGCTCCGGCTGAATGGTTTCATCGGTTGATTTTTCAATAAAACTCCAATGAAACCGTTTGAAGTTTACATAAAGACATTTGATTACCTTGTTGTCAGCAGGACTATGGAAATCATGGCTAAAGACAGTCACAAAACCCCACCATAGTTACACAATAGGTCTCAGGCAGCTACTTTTGAGTGATTCCTCGCCTTCTTCGAAACGACATTGTTTTATGTCGATGAGTGTCAGGTGCGTCCTAAGATCTAGGATAAATTGAGTAAGAGCTTATGGATGCCATGCGCAATCCGTCCATTTTGAGTGTATACCAGTCAGTTACTTTGGTCATTTATCCCATCGGCTTACTTAGATCTGTAGTCCACATATTGACGGTTACTTACTGGGCAAGTTGCACGCGGTCACTATGAACTCACCTTGTTCTTAACGGGGTTCAATTTGCAGTGGATAGCTACTGCTACAGTTCTACTTCTTTGTCAAACTTCTGCCAAAAAGGTTTTGGATTTTTCATACTGTTCATATACGAACAGATTCTCTTATGAGCGGCTGTGCACACTATCACTTGATAAAGTAGCGGCCTTAGTGGACGCGAAATTGTGGAAAATCGGTTTTAAGGTTGTTACAGGGATTAGTTAAGTACACTACTTGGACCATGCAAAGGGATCAAAACTGTACTCTCTAGATTAGAAATCTCCACGAAGTTTCCATGATTAGAATGGATCTTCGAGATGGAGTGCTGCTTAGAAAAGAATCTACATTTACACATATACATTGAATCTAGAAAAGCCAAGGCACAAACGACTTTTTATGTCCATAAGAATAGCGGGCAAAAAGAAAATTCTTCCGGCTCAAGTTATTAGAACTCAAACTGAGGAAAGTGTCAAAACCTAGTTAGCACCAGTACAAAAATTTCTGCAGCATGGCTTCACCCGGGTGAGAAATCAGTGCGGAAATGAAACACGTTTCCGCACCCGGGTGCGGAAATGGTGCACCAAAACAAAACCACTTAAATCGGTCGACGGTTTACATTCCGTAGGGACTCGAAAATGCAGGGTATTGTGGTTTTTCATCACTATGAGACATAAAGAAGCTTTGATGCCTCTTAAACGTCTCAATCTCCCGCGGCTTAAAAGCCAAACATTAGGACAGAATTTCTGCACAGACTCCGCACAGGTTCTACAAGCAGGCGCGGACGCGTGCTAACTGGGAAGCTGCTTGACAAGCCTCTACTCCTAAGTGCGGAATTACTTTACAGCCGTTGTCACCAAACAGGTTATCTCGGAATGGGAATCGACTGAGTCTACAAAGGCATAGTTGAAGCTTGTAAATAGGAAGAAGGGGACTATTCGAGAGCAGCAGTTAGTATGCGATGGTCACAGAGAAAAAGGTCGCGCTAATAAAAAGCTATCTCAAATAGGGTCTCGTATCAACAGCCGAAGTTATTCTAGATTTTTTTATGAGCCAACCCCATGGCTCGTGGAATTTGCGCTTTTGCCCATCTAGAGGTGCTCTACGCAATCACTTCCAAAGAATGGTCTCACACTCATAATCTAAACGGAAGTGTAATTAGAATACCACACCTCAACGGCCGGGCAGTAGTCCTGCAAGACAGGAAGGCCTACCAATTGGTTAATGGAAACTCCGGTACACCAGCTGGAGAACTTCGACTCAGACTCTGAAATGCTACTTTTATCTCTCAAACTTTTGCTGATCCATATAGTGCAAGTGAAACCCAGATGGAGTCGCACTTTCCACAAATGATCTATTTAGCTCCTAGTATCTAACAGTAATAACATTGTGTATGTTGGAACTTGTGGAACATTTGGGCACATTTGGGTGCTGACGATCTCTCATTATCATCAGCAATAACGTAAATACTGTCGCTCAAATGCTGCACAACGGTGGAAATCGGTGCCATCTCAGAAAGCAGAAGGGGTGGCGGAGGAATGCAACTTCTAAAGAATGCCTAAAATCTATAGGAGAAACGGTTTAAAACGAAGCGCTGACACCAAATAGTACTGAAATAGACACACTTAGACATTTTGTCACAGCAAACGGCCATCAGCGGGATTAACGCATTATCTTCGAACCTTACCCATTACATACATGACGAACAATATCAGGTCAAGATCAACTCATCAGTTTGACTAGGGAGTGGCAATATGCAGACCAGTGAGACCAGCCACAAGCCACGCCATGTAGGGCTTCCAATTAAATGCAAAAGGTAGCGCATCAGCTCGAGGAAGGAGTGCGCGAAGATTCCGTGATATCGTCTTTGAATGTGTCTGCTTCCATTTAGCGTTTTTGTGCCTCGGAAATAGTTTCGGTAGTATGTGTTTTAAGTATAAAATTGTTTTATTTGGAAGATGGTGGTTGGCGATCTGGCGACGCTTCTGAGTGTTGTCTCACGCACAATGTTATTGTAGATATTCTACAGTCGTTCAAATCATGCCATGCTGGAAATATACCATTGCTATAGGAGTTAAATACAGTACAGATGGAGTGTCTTTCAAACGATGACAGATTCCAGATTTAACGCTGTTTTGCCATTGCGCATCCGAAGAGCACCATGGGTCACATTTCCTGAGTATGTAAATAAGGCCTAGATTTGAAAATACCCCGGAATGCGAATCTGTAATGCGGCTTCAACCTACAACAATGATTGATATTAGACTGCCAACTGCTTTTTGATTCTGCGCAGAACCCCGAAGAGAGCTTACTCCCAAAAGAAAATAAAAAGATAATCGTTCAACCCTTTCGGTGCCTAGCTGCCATGCCACCCGAAGGAAGCACGAGGGCTGGGATACTGCCAGGTTTCCCAAGCTTAGACAGGGAAAGTCGAGAGGAAGATGTGGGGTTCGAACCACGGACCCTCCGGTCAGTTAATTCACGATCTAACCACTGAGCCATCCCGGCCCCTGGACCATCTCGCCCTCCTCCCAAAAGAGGCGAAACAGCTCATAAATCACGGTGGCATCATTGGGATAACTAGTGCATTGCTAACGACTGAAAGCAAAAATATAAAAAACAAATATGTGTGGCGACAGGACTACATAAAAATGGCAACTGCAAACGATGTTCTTCAGGTGGACTGTGAATTATGGTTCAAAGCAAAACACATTCAGTCAAAGCATTACACTTCAGTCCTAACTTGTTAGTACAGTCAGTCAAGAGGTAGCTGTCGACGTCAGCCAGACGGCCTTATGTTTACGGAGGAAAATTCACCCGATACTGAAGTGAGATACCTAAGTGAAACGACAATACGACAATATACACGATTTTGCCTGGAAGCGCACAATACAATTTTAGTTATGTTTCAATGCCTATTCACGCTGATTGACGCAAACCGCTGTCAAAGTGTGACGTAGTGAGGCGCGATTTTTGAGCACGCCAGAGACGATTTTCTACATGCAACCCGCTCTCGAAGGTGATACTAGGATTTGTTCTTCATTCGAAAGCGTTGTTGATGAAGGAGTTGCTACTGGAGGCCATACATGACTGAATTTTCGCAGCATAACCACTGGTACACCGACACCATGGTGACAGTCCTCAAAAACCGAACCTCGGCCTGTCTATGAATCTTCTGTCGGCAAGAAAATGCGTTGAGGTTTGAATGACACCGCGTACTGCTTCCCTTATGCTAATTTTTGTATTTTCAAAGATAACTCAAACTTCGAAGGGAACTATATTATACTATATTATACTATATTATACGTTTTTCAGCCAACTCTTCCTTGGCCAACTCATTTTCGCAAGCTCTTGCGGCTGCAGA